ATGCTTGGTCGGCGGAGTGCACGGATTGAAACGGCGTAATCGGCGATAATTAAAGCGAGCCAACGATGGTGAGTATTTTTGAAAGCATTTAATAGGAGAGGGCGACGTCGTCCTGCTCGACCGGATCTCCGCTTTACTATCAAGTGGAAGACAATTCGGGGCGTTAGCTCCCCCTTAAATCGTAGAGAACGGCGTGAGTTTTAAGACAATCCCGAGCAAGGGCCAATTTCTACCGGAAATCGTCGCGTCTGTCCGCGTAATTAAACTTTTACCTTTCGACGCCCGACTACTCTAACAATAAACGAATCGTCCCCCGGTTTATTCCGATCTTGAACGACCGTTGATCGTTCCGTTTGATTTCAGGTCAATAGAATTGATAAGCCAGACGATTCTTTCTTTTTATTGATCTCTTTTTTTTTTCCTCTTTTCTTTTTTCTGTAAACATGTGTCCACAATTTATTATCAATTGTGTACTCCACATACAGCGACCTGCACACATAGTGACGCACGTTTTATACACACGTACATCGCACGCATACGTCCAACGAAAAAAATACGTTCCACATCCCATGCACGTATACGCATACAGAGAAACGAATTGTCATTGTACACGTATATCACATGCACACGTATGTAACATACATATTTGTTCTTTTTTTTTTTTTCTTTTTTTATACTTATAATAACGTATTTATGTTCAGCATCTCTCGTATATAACTATCGTTAGGGAGAAATTTAATTAATTTACCTTCATTTTTTTTTTTTTTTCAAAATATATATATATATATATGTTTTTCTTTTTTCTTCGTCGCTATCTGTAGGACAAGAACAGTGGAAACGATCGTACTCCATGCTTAAACTTATTACTCTCTTATTATGCGTAGTTCATTGTTTCCTGTGCGTCATTATATGATCTTCCTGTCTCTCTTTCATTCTTTCTGTTAAAAAAATTAACGTATAATACTCGTCGTGCGATATTTGAAAGTAGTAGCTAGCAAACACTGGGGAGGAAACGAGGACGAAGTCAGGATTTGTCTCCAAATTTTCCATTCCCATCCGTTTTGCTTATATAACGATAATTGAATTTAACGATATCGTTCGTAGTTTCTCTGTCAGAATGAACTTTCGTTTACGTGTGTGTGTGTGTGTGTGTGTGTGTGTGTGTGTGTGTCGTTTCCGATCGATCTCCCGATTTCCTATCGAATAATACAAATTTGAAATTCTTCACGATTGGCAGGTGAACGAAAGACGTTATTCCAACTGACTTCGACTGGCTCGCACAACCACAGCATTCACTACTCTCTCGCGTCTTCTCCACCTCGGTGTATCACAATGATTCAACGTATTGACTATTTCATAGATAATTCTCTTCTCTTTCTGTCTTTCTGTTCTCTAACTTTGCACACGCTAGCGAGTCACGAGCTTTCCAGTTACAGGTTTCCTTTCTTCAACGTCGACGCGAATGTCTGCACGCTCGTTCCACGTTGAAGTTCAATCTAATGTATCAATGTCTAAAATTGTCGTACACGTTGCGTATGTAACCATAGGTGAGCTTCTATTTTCCCTTTGCCTTTCACACAATCCTCTTTCATGGACGGCGATAAAAAACGTAGCGCTAGAGATTATTACAACATGCGAGGAACGCTAAATCCTGAGTGTCTAAAAATTTCTCGTAATATACACGTATTTATACAGTTCTTTCGTTTCTTCTTCTTC